TTTTGATTATTTTTGCACAGTGAATATAGAAGCTAGAAATGGGTTTTACAATGATTTTGAAAAATAATTAGAGTAATTCAATCTTATCTTTATTATCATAACCTTTATTAGAGATGTAATATGAACTTTAGCCATATAATTAATAAAATGATAATACGTACTCATATATTCATACATATTATCGATCTACTACTTAACCCAAGTTACTAATGTTTTAAATCTATGATATTCAGATAACATAAAATATGAACATTAGTACAAGCTTATTGTTATTATAATAGTATATCAAATGATATGCATAGAATTCTTCAAGTTAAATTTTACATGTAATGTCTCAATCCAGCATTTAGAACTTACATATTGTTAATATAACTAGTATTATCAATAAATAGTAAAAACATCTACTTTTAAATGATATTCTTAGAATTAATGATTATTTTTGATTATTTTTGTGCAGAGAATATAGAAGCTAGAAATGGGTTTTACAATAATTTATTCGCATATTGAATTTGAGTTTGGGTTAATAAATATCAATTTACTACGTACGTATATTGCATATCTATTTATATATCTATATGTTTTTAAATATGACAAATTCTTTTTGCGTGTATTTATTAGTTTGTAAACTGGCTATACCAAAATTAAATAGTAAATTTTTATATACCACATCTAGAGTATCCAAATCTATGCAATTTAAAATATATTTTTATGTGATATAAGAAATTCTAACTATACAATATCAATGCAAATAAAAAATTGGGATTAAATTTTAATTTAATATAGTTATATAATATTGATATTTAGTAATTAGCAAAAAAACATATTATGTGCATTAATCTTTATTATATTGATATTAATCATTATTGTTATTTGCACTAGTTATATTAAAATAGATTGATTTATTACGTATTTTATGTGTCAAAAATGTAATTGCACAGGTCTGAACACTATAACTGCATCTGAACTCTTCTTTACCAGGCTGTCTCAAAGTCATATGATATATATTTCTATTGAGATACAAAAATAATTACATCACTGATCATATTTATGCATCTATAATCTATATTCCAATTTGTCACTTGACTCAAAATGGTTATTACAATGATGCAACTACAACTATGAAAATACTATCGGGATTCTGCTTTGCTACTCACGTGGTCTACAGCTAGTTCTATAGCATTATATACTACTGCTTCCCTCTTTTAATATCTGATCTGTTCAAATAGGCTATCAAAAAATTTCTCATTTGATATCTGATCTGTTCGAACAGGCTATCAAAAAATTTCCTATTTGATATTCGATCTGTTTGAATAGGCTATCAAAAAATTTCCTATTTGATATCTGAACTGTTCGAACGAGCTATCAAAAATTTCTCTTTTGATATCCAGGTGGCTTACCTGGATTATCAAAATTAAACTGAAGTTATACCAAAGCTCATTTTCTTACCTCTACTACAATTTGCAGAGGACAGGACTTTTACAAAGCTAGATTTCTGTCAAGCTAGCAGCAAAGACAAAAAGAAAAAACAAAAAACCTTTTTGCAGCACTTAAATAGTCTTACCCATTACCTTATACTTACAATCAAAAAACAAACTATTATACAACACCCTAATTACTTATACTTACATCACAATTATTGCTAATTATGTTAATTGCTTATACTTATATCACAATTTCTGTTAGTTATGTCATGGATATAGCTGATCTCATGACAAATGAATGCTCGTAACTTCATTCACAGCATCTTATTTGTCACTTAACTCAAAACAGTTGTTACAATAATGTAACCACAATTACAAAAATACTATCAGGATCATCAAGAGAATCAAATTAAATAACCTGTTATATTACAAATTCAAAAAAATCACTTTTAAACTCTATTTTAACAGAAGCTTCTTCCTTTGTTATCTCAACTGCTCTCAAATATAACATCACCACTTTCGAATTCCAACCCCCAATTGTCCTTATTTAGATTAATGATATATTTTTTTTATTGCAGCTATCATATTTTCTATTCTCAAACAATAAGATGTGAAATAGCTATTAATCTTCGTATTATCTGTTATATATTTAATTATTAACAAAACCTCTGCTACTAATATTTCTCCACCCTTAATCGATAAAAACAAAGAATTATTATCTGATAAATTTGGCCTTATCTTCAAATACTTTTTTAATAACCTCACCAAGCAAATTTTACTACCTGAAGGTTTTATTAGCACAAACTGCCTATTTGCAAAAGAATCATTTTTCACTTTCTTCACTCTAAGCCAGACCAAACCTGAATTTTTTACTACATCATTTATTTTCAACTTACAGAGCTCACCTAGTCTTGGCATATTACAAAAACCTATAGCTACCAAAGCCAAATCTCTATATCAAATAACTAGATCTACTTTGTTAAACAGATTATTATAATAGTATCTCAAAGCCTTTAACAAAAAAAGATCTTGTGACCATACTGCATCATAATCCTAGGCTCTTAACAATTTTATATTCTGTACTACCTCTTTAACTCTAAAATTTTCTGTTAGGCTATACAAATCTTTTTTTATATAGTCTTATAATCACCCCAAGGTGTTTTTGAATTCGCAAAAACAAATCTGCTATTTTCAACCAATCTAAAAAGGCTTTAATTGTCTCAATACTTGCAAAGCAAGAAGATTCTTTTACTCAAAAACAAAATTTTAAAAACAACTCTAATGCTCTATCTAACCTCAATCTATATTTCCCAGAAAACTAAACCATCTGCATACTCTAACAATATTCTGACTAATCTATATATATCGCTAGCAGTTTTCAAGCTAGGTTCTTGCATAGCTCTCTTTGACTTGAAAAACCCAAAACAATAATATCCACTACTAGTGAAAGCTTCATCATCTCTTTTGTTACCCTGAGAAATATCAGCTATCACAGAGTTGAAACCCATACTAAAAGAATCAACACTACCTCGGCTTTGTACTTCTTGCTATATATTAATATCCAGTGAATCAGTCTAAAAAATAGGCAATCATAATTCATATCCAAACTCTAGTCTTGTGTGAAACAATTGATTGCTTCTAAATTTGGGCAAAAAAAATAACTGTTAAAATATACTCTCTTTATGTTTAGATAACTTGCAAACTAATCTACTAATATTGGCCTCTATCTCTCTCTAGACTAGCAAAATCTGATCATCTAATTGCCAATTCTCTGGATCATAAATCCTTGTCAAGTGATTTATCAGGTTTAACCTACTTGAAATCTACCTGACCTTGAAGATTTACACATCGTTACTTGTACAGAACCTCAAAAAAAATATGCTATGTCTTTTTGCTATAGACAACTTTTTCTTTGTATTATTATTTTTATTGCTACCCTGTTGTCCACAAAAAGTATTATCCAAGAATGGTTTACTAAACTTACAAATAATTTCAGTATCTTCAAAACCATTAAACTTTCTAATTATACTATTTTTGTTGACTTGAAGAGACTTGAACAATTTTTTATAGCTTTATAATTTAGATATGTTCTACACCAACCTATTGTTGATATATCTACAAACACCACCTTCATATAAGCCAGTTTTCATGCAGGTTTGCTATTCCAACTTACTATATTTTCTCTTAACCACTTTATATTCTCTAATACTCTTTCTGATAACACTACCTTCTTGTCCTACTCCCAATTATATATGCCACCAAAATAGGTTTTCAAAAAATCTTGTTTCGTCTTCATTAGAGCAAATTAGAATTTTTTATATGTAAAAGCAAATCTAATTTAGATAGTTATGTTTCTTTTAATTTCGTCTTTTTAAAAAAAGTATTAAAATTTTGTCTTTTAAGTAAAATAGGTTAAAAACAATTTCGTCTTCAAATTTTAATTTCAGATTTTAGACTCCAAAATAATTTCATCAGTATGTATACTCCCAATAGCTATAGTTCACTACATCTATTAAAATATAAAACTCTAGACACTTTAATTGTATCAAGAGAAAAGCTTGAAAAAAACTTTGAATTTTTCTTATCACCAAGTAAATGTCTTGCCAAAACTACTTAAAACTTTTCTAACTCTTCCAACTTCTTTTTCACTCACAACAACTTTTCCTCTAGAATCTCTACTATAATCTTTTCTGTATTGACCATTAAACTATAGATCTTTATTTTTCATGTCAATTGCCAACTTTCTTTGTCTAAAGCTATATAAAACCATAATCCTCCAAGTTGACTTCTATTATCATATCCCTTAAATGCAAAAGCTTCTTCTTGAACAGGCTTTCAACTTATACATCATTAATATGATTTTCACAAAAGATTCTTTGACTTCTTCAAGAATCTATTAATGCTCTTATTATTTTTGAAAATACCTATAGTGACTAGAATAGACCAAATAGCAAAACTATATAATGGAATCATTTTTCATCTACTTAAA